CAGAATTACCAAAGATTTTGACTTAAATATCAATAGTGAAGTATGAAAGAACAAAGAATTATTCTCATTAAATCAAAAGAGGGCTGATTAATTTAATTGAAGTAAACAACTATAAAGTAAGATAATGATCAGCTAACAATTTAATTAGCCTTCAGTCCTGCAATTTAAATTATAAGCTTTTTGGTAGTCTAAAACCTATCTCCTTTTACTAAAATGATCAATCTAGGATAGATGGGGATGTGACTGAAAAAATGTGAAAGAAAGTAATGTTATTTTAATTTCTTGTTCAGGCTCAGACGAAAGTATAGTTGCTAACAATATTTAAGAACTTATTGAAAATAGTTATTGGTAAAATCTAAATGGATACTAATTTAAGATAAACTTCCAAATTTTGAAGAATCAAAGGTATCATCCATTGGAAGAAGATACTAATAATTAAACTTTATTAAGATAATAAGAGAAATACTTAAAAAATATTGTAAGTTGAGTAGTTTATTAAATCTATTTCTATCCAGGCCATCAATATTTTAGAGTTTTGTAAAGATATTAAATTAGATAATTAAAGTTTAGTAAGTTTGAATATATTCAAAAATATTTGGAATCTTAAATTGAAGTTAATGTCAATGTACATAATTCCGTTGATAGCACTCAAAGGTAAATGAGATATGTAATGTTCACCCTAAATTTTTTCCATTGCCTATTTATAACAACAGTTTAAGATGAAATAATTTACGAAGGAATATTTTTGCTTTTAGAATCTTAATTGGTAATTTTTACAGAAGAGATTTACTCTATAGATCACCAAATAAATGAAAATAACCAACTTTACAAATTGATAGTTTACATTTCACTTTGAGCTAAGAAAAACAAATATTTTGTTAGCATTATCTAACTATGTTTTCTTATAAGATTATTTTCCCAATTTAATATTCTTCTTGTATATTAACTAAACTTATTAATTTTTCATAAGAACCAAAGTCTTGAGCATCATTTTAAAAAAACCCATTCTTGAAATAAATTAACTTAGATATGTATATACTATTATTTAAGAAAATTAATTTTAGAGATTTATTAGAATTTGTGAATATTTTTGTTTATCTCTCTTACAATTCTCTACTTCATAAATAACATTTTGTTCCAATTTTGAGTGCTATTAAAAATTTTCAACTTTTTTTTATCAAAGTATCGTGATCCAATTATTACTGTTATTTCTCAAGCTAACATTTTGGGATGATGCTTTATACCGCTTAATAAACTACATCTACATTTCCTAATTCTTATTTTAATTAATGATTTCTTCTTTTATAAAATTATCACCTTATAGAGTACAAAAGATTATAAAATTCAAAGCTAATTACCAATATAAACAATAATGCATTAATCTATTCATTAAAGTTTAATGATTAAATAGTATTTAAGTTTTGATATTAATTTAAATGGACACTTGCTAATAAATTTAATTAAATTAAATATAGTGAGTAAGAAAAGAGAGAGAACGTTATTTTACATTCCTATTGAAAAATTTTAATTGAAAACATTTCCAATAATAAAGAAGACTTAGATTTGAGAGTTTCTTGCAGAATTAAGTTGATAAAGTAGATTAAATAGTTTAATTATTGAAAGGTTAGCAATTCTACTTTTATTAGTTTATAATCCAAAATTAAAATATGATGAAAGGTAATTCTAGTAGTTAAATACACTATATTCCTATTTTTATTTAGATAGATGTTAAAACCAAGGTAATTGCAAATTGCTTGAATTCTAACTTTACAGGAGGCTATTTATACTTAAATAATAGATTTGTATAAATAACACATATTAACTCTTCAAGAATATTTATTAATTTGTAATAACAATTAGTTTGAATCTATATTATTATTTTGTATTTCTATTATAATTCATAACTAAGGAATAATTTTTTGGAAATTAATTACTATTTTAATTATAATTCATTTATGGATTAATAAAATACAATATCTCGTTGTCTTGATCATAATGAATTTGTTACCTTCCTTTCAAGATCTAAATAAGATTAAAAGATAGTAAAACTTTGTCATAAGTGTGTGGTTGAAAAAAAGAAGGATTTAGTGTTAATAGATGATGCCAAGAAATATCTTCAAGAAAAAAAGTTAGGAATACTAGAGGAAAAAGAATCCATTAACAAGTAAAATGTAGCAATTTTGAATGACTTAAAATAAAACTTGGAAAATCTTGGGCTGAATTTCAATCTATAAATCGATAAAATTAAGGAGAATATAGATTCTGGTGTCAATATTATAGAGTAATCCTCAAAGTAATTCTAGAAAGTGTTAATTGATACTTCGATTGATCAGTTAGAGAATGTAGATTTAGATAAAAGTTCAATTATTGGATAATATATTAATTTTTAAGAATTACAATAATCAATTTTAAGTTAAATTGGTAATCTATTCAATGAAAAAATGTTGTAAAAATGTTAACAATTAATCTAAAGATTAAACGTTGGCGAATAGAGCGAAGCTTTGAATTAACTATTTAATATTGGTTCTTTTATTGATTAGTAGACATAGATAAAAGCAGATTGGATTTGTGATAAGCATGAATAAGAAATAACTTTCGTTGATCTATCCGAATAAAAAAGTATCCAAAATAGATTAGCTTGTCTTGAATGTGTTCCTGAATATGTTATTTAATATACTAATTTAAGACAATTACAAAAGATGTGGTAGAAGCATGCTGAATAGGCTTTGACATTCTTTAATGTTTATTATAGCAATACTTTGAGTAAACAATCTTAATTAATTCTTTAACTCAAGGACTTCAGAGAAGTAATTTTAAAGTAATTTGAGTAATTAATTGAATCAATTTAAATGAAAGTTTAAATAGAAAATAATGATCTCCAATATCATCATAAGTTACTTTAAAAAACATGGGAAGCAGTAAGTAAAGAAGATCTAATTAATATTGTTGATCTTCTTAGTTCATAAAATAGATTAGCTCTGGTTAATCGCATGATAGAATAAGAATTTTAATCCAAAGATTAAGCTATTGATTCAATCGTTTGTTCTCAAATGCATCAGCTCTAAAATTTAATAAACTCTACTTTTCCATAACTTATTACATCCACGGTTAAGTCATTCGTTCCAAACCAAAAACTTAATTAAAAGAAGATTGATGTTGAATCATAAATATAATAATCTTTCTCCTTATAATCTTAAATTATCACCCTTCAGTTATAACTTCATAAGGAAATCATTTTACCTTAAATTTTCAAGCCATTTACTTATGAAATAGTTTCCTAAATTTCAGAAAGTTCTCTATGTTAAGCATTTGCATTTAATTATGACTCATCAATTTTAATTGTTGGGTAAAATGATGGATCAATCAAAGTTTTTGAATTTAATTTTGGATAATTAAAAGAAATTTAATTACTTAAGAAGCATTCGAGTAAGATTTATTGTTTATATTTCATGTAAAAGTCTTCTTCTTTTTTATCTGCTGGTGGTGATTAGTAAATAATACTCTGGAAGGAGAATAATTAGAAATAATGGTAGAGTTATCAAAAATTAGAAGGTCACACTTGTTAGGTTAATTGTTTAATTATGAACAATTAAGAAGACTGTATCATATCTGGTAGTTATGATAAAACTATTAAATTTTGGGTTTAAAATAATTAATAATGGAAATGCAATTAGACAATATCAGATCATACAGGCTATATTAGATGTTTATCATTGAATATATCATAAAATACGTTGATATCATGTGATGGGGATAAATTAATATTAATCATCTCATAAGATAATAATTAAAGATGGAACATAATCTAAAAGATATCAGTTGAAAGGAATGGCTATAGTTTATGTTTTGTAACTGATTAGATGTTTACATTTTAATAGGAAACAATAAATATTATGCATATCTATCAATTAAATATAGCAAGTTAATAATTTATTAAAACTGAATAAGAAGTAGACATTAAATCAAATTCGGGTTGTACATCATTATTCCCTTAGAAATTCATAAAAGCAAAATAAATTCTACTCAATAAAAATGGAAGAAACGTAAACTTAATTAGACTTCATAGCAATGGTTAATTCAAAACAGAATAATCTATTGAAAATAATGGTAATTGTTGTGGACTATTTGGTACTATTTCAAACGATGGAAGTTATTTAGTCACATATGAGAGTGATAGTATACAGTTAAAAGTAAGAAGATATAGAGAATACTGATGTGGATAAATCAAATCTCAAAAAATTGGTTTTTGATATTATGAAAATAAGTTATAAATTTATCAGGTTATTCATCTATTGGATCAATATACATCTTTCAAAGTAACCAAAACGATTGCTTGATAAATTAATTAATTACATAATAAATAGCATTTATTTAAGTTATTTAAATTTTCATTATTATTATAAAGAAAGTGGAATTATATAAAAGATATTATAAGATTTGATATTAATGGAAACTTTTTCACCATTCTCATAATATAATAAAATAGATTACTCGTAATTGTAATATCCATATGATTAAAATATAATATAATGAATTAGAGTTGATATTTAAGTTGATATCAACCCATTCCAAAACTGTGAATTTACATATTTTTATGATAAGAAATTAAGTGGTCATTTAATTCATTTACGCCACCTATTCATCAATAGTAATATTTTATTTTATCATCCTTTTAAAACCTAATTAATTAATAACGTTCTGATTACTAATACAAATTCCTTTATAATTCTGTATAATTTAAGATAATATATGAAAATTGGCTCTTAGTTCATATATTTTTGAAAGATAACTTAAAATTATATTGAAATATTATTCTCAAAAATCAGGATATTAACAAATTAATTAATGAATTGTTTTTAATAAGTTACAAATCTAATATTCAAATAAAGCTTTGATTTATTATTATTTAATACCTTCAGTTGCAAGGAACTCAGACTTTAAAACATTTATTGATCTGAAAATTATATTTCAAATGCAAATAGAATAATTTATTAAATATACTACTTACATCTAATTAAGGCAGCCAATTTATTTGGTAATACCCTACATTTAATGCTGTACTTAATCATAATTCCATCTGAATTTTTAAATTATATTCAATATAAATATATCCAATATAGTTAAGTCGTTAATATCTCGATAAAAAATGTTCCTCCAATTATCAGAAATAATTCAAATGCTTTTTTGATTTATAATTCTCTTTATATTTAAATGCTTAATTAATACCCTATTAAAATGTAATCTCAAAGGATAGTTTGGTTAAAGGGATTGATCTACATGCTTTTTTCATTACTTTTATTTTCAAATCTAATTCAATAGAAAAATTTAATAAACAATTTCGATGCTTATAATGAAATATTTATATTTTTTAATTCTAAAAATATGAAATAATATCCTTTTGTAATAAAATTCCATTTTTCATCAGATTAGTATTTGGAAGCTAGAATTTATTGAAGAAAATTTTTATGCAAGATTGGGAATATTCTATTTTTGCTTTAGAAAATATCATCTAAATTGAAAACATAAGTTTTTGTAAAACAAATAGAAGATATATGATAAATTAAATGTTTTGATATAATCAACTATTATTTCTTAGGATTTTAGTTAATGTAATGTTTGTTTTGCTCATCTAAAATTATTTTACTTCTAATATAAATCAAATTTGTTATTTTCTTTCAATAATGATATTTTTAGAAAGTTTGAAAAAGCGGTATTTAAGTTAATTCCTTTTTATTTCTTCTAAGCTGTAACAATTCGATTATTTGAGCCAACCTGAATTATTGAGGAGAGTTAAATGTAAAATCAATTTTTTTATTTTTTAAAGATTGAATTGGGCCAACTAGAAATAATATTTAGAGATTAATAGATGAAGAGCAATAAACTAATATGAATTGCATTGAATATCTCTATAAATAACAACTAAATTAGTGACTTAAAATTTTGATATAATTAAAGAATGTGAAATAGGTAAATTTAACCTTAAAACTATTTTGCATATTTTATATGTTATTTCTGTTTGTTGTGATACCTTAGAGAATTGCTTTTTGGTGAAAGTAATCTGTAACTTGCTAAAGTCTTTAAAACAATGTTTTTTGAGAATTTCAAAAGTTTTGGTTTAGTCATTTTAATTTAAAATAAAAATAAGACTAAAGCATATTTTCAAGTAGAAAATATAAAATTTAATTTATCTCTAAGTTGTGTGTTTTATAGACTAAAAAGGTTATGATCTTTATTAAATAAGATTTTGTAATTTATGTAGAACCATCACTTGATTATCTGGTTGATTTCATATTAGATGGCATAATCAAACTATATTCTCTAAATTTATATATTTATATTAAGATACAAGAGGTTAGATCAATCAATGCATTTTAGATTTGGCTCATTAAATACATATGCTGAATTTTCAATACATCAGATTTGATATTAGTAAATTAATATAGGCACCCAATATTTTAAACAAGAGGTCAAATGATTACTTAATTCAAGATGAATTAATGAAAATCAAGAATTTATAGCATATTTAAATCTGTCCATTGCATTAGAATTAAAGAAAATATAGTATTTTTTATTTATAAGTTTAAGAATAAAAGAATAAATATTATATAATTGTAATTTTACTTTGTCTAATAAGCATTTTAGTGTTACTTTTTACAATTAAACCTCAATCTTAATATTAAACTTTACATATTAATTTATTATTTTAATTCACAAGGGACTCATTATATATATAGAATTTTTATTAATTAAATCTTGAATCAAGATTTATTTTATAAAGATTATAATTCTAATCACATATTTAAATTAAATTGATCAGTAATGAATAGAATTTTTACTCATAAATACAGCTTATATCATATTGAATAATAAAATAGAAATGAAAAAATAGTTATATGGACCTTAGATTATTTAAGATGGTAGTGGAAATAATTAAAAAAGATATGGCTGCTATAAAATTTCAATATTTTTGTTTGCTATGACATTATAAAACAAAAAATAATACCCTTATAACTTGCAAAGTATTCAGCCAAAATATTTCCTGGGTTTTGTATTGTGCAATTAGAATTAAAATATTCAACTAATAAACAGAATGAGCCCATTGATCTGGAATATGTTTTTTCGATTAATGAAAACGCTGCTGTTACTAAAATGATCGTTAAACTAGGGAAAACCAAAGTTTATGGTACAGTAAAGGAAAAGGAAGAAGCGAAGTAAGAGTATGAATAAGGTCTATAAAAAGGAAAAACTATGGCATATAGTGAATAGGATTCGAGATTCCCTTAGATAAAACGAGTAAAAGTAGGATAACTTGCACCATAAAAATAATTGAAGATAACTTTTGAGTATATACAACCCTTAGAGGTGTTTCTAAATAAATTTTGGAAAATCGAACTATTCCCAGTTATTGATTAAAATTATGTATAGGTCAATAAAAAATAGATGATTGGTATTTAAGATGAGCAGATTTATGAATATTTAAATAGATTATTTAGGATTTAAGATTTCGAATATAAATTTAAATAAGAAATTTAAGTGGAGATAAATTTTGGATCACCTATTACGTTTTGGAAATCCCCTACTCATGAACTTGTATCAATTAATGTAAAAAATAGTGTAAAAGAAAATAATAAACATTTAATGCTCTAGTTAGAAGATATTCCTAATAACTACAACCCAATTAAATAATTTATCTTACTTTTTTCTTCAGATGAAATCAATCTACCCCGGGCCGTTCTAAGTCGTACAATGAATGATGCCTTACAATATTAAAAATATTGTGCTACATTAACATTCATTCCAAAATTTAATGAAGTTTCTTTGGATGATGCCTATTCGCAATATTTAGATGGATTAAATATAGCAGATAATCAAAAAATAAAAAGAGGTAATTACTTATTCATTATTGATCGAAGTGGATCAATGAGTGGATCAAGAATCAGAAAAGCCAAAGAGGCCTTGATTCTGTTTCTAAAAAGTTTGCCTTAAGATTCAGAGTTTAACGTTATTTCATTTGGTAGCTAATTTAAAACTTTGTGGAAGGATTCCAAAACTTATTCATAAGGTTCATTAGAGACAGCAATTAACCATGTTCAAAACATGGATGCTAACTTGGGAGGAACATGTATAATTGAGCCATTAAAGGAGATGGTATATAACAAAAATTATGGATTTTCCAAAAATACAACTCTGAATGTGTTTTTGCTTACAGATGGAGAGGATGATGCTGATCCGATAATTGATTTAGTTCAGAAAAATAACCTAGCATAAACGAGAATCTATACTTTAGGAATTGGTGAAGGATGTAGTTAATACTTGATCAGAAGAGTGGCTGAAGTTGGAAATGGTAAACATTAAATTGTTAGTGATAAGGAGGATATAAGTGAAAAAATAATTGATCTATTGGAAGATTCCTTAACTCCATATCTAGAGGCTTTTACTCTGGAATCAAACATAACTAATATAGCCTCGATTATTCCTAATCCAAACTCTATTGTTAGTTTGAAAAAGAATTAAGAACTCACAATCTAAATACTTTTTTCAAAATAAGAGACACCTAAAATTCTAGAGTTTAAGATCAACTGTTATGATCCATAAAACTAAAAATAAATTTAATATTCTGTAAAGTTAAACTTGAATGAATCTTAAAACAATGAATATTTTCATAAATTGGCCATCTACAAATTTATAACTTACTATGAAAACTCCCTATAATTTGGTTAAAATCACGTGAATTTTATAAAACTCGATAAAGACATAATTGATTCAAAAGATATAATTGATTTATCTGTTTAACATTAAATTTTGTGTTCAAAAACGGCATTCATATGTTAAGTGTGTGATTTAGAAGATTAATTTAAATAATAGATCTAATAGAGAGTACCTATAGTCCAACCTAAATAAGCAATACGCCATTAATAATTGAATGCTTGCTAGTAGAATCAACGCCGTATTTATATTCAACAACCATCTCGATAATATCAGTCTGCAGGCTGCTGTGGTGGAGGAGGTCCTTCAAATAAGTATTAAAACTTTAACACATCTCCCTCACCTTAAAGATATGCCCCCTAAACTCAGCCATTATTATAAAAAGAAAAGTAAACAGATTAAAGCATAAACAAGACAGATAATGATTAACTTACTTATGAAAAATTGATTAACTTTGCTCAAGCAAATGGATGTTTTAGAATTAGTAAAGAAATTATATCAAAAATCAATTTTAAGAATCTTTTGAATCATTAAAATCTAAAAGATGATGTTTGGTTTACTTTTCTAGTGTTATTATACTTTGAAAAATATTTTAGTCAAAATAAAAAATCATGGTATTTGGTTTATTAAAAGGGAATATAATATTTGAAATAGAATGGAATGGATTATAAGGCAAAGAAGAATGAATATAAATTATGATACATTATACATAATATTTATATGAATTAATTGTATACATTATTGAAACCACAAAGGATAATGATATCAATTTCCTATTGAGCATATATAATTTGAATATTTATATTATTGATTCAATGGGGTCAACGGAATCAAAAACTAATCATCATTTTAATCGCTTTTCTTATGAACTTCTCCCTTAAACTAATGAGATTAAGATGGAGATTTGTATGGCCATTGCTATCAACTTTACCAATACTCTTCTTTTAGCTGCATCCACAAATGATATCAAAATAATCCAAGTTAATGAAGGTTAATTATTTAGTATTCAAAACCTAAAGAAACATAGCGATCATGTTACAACTCTAAATTTCTTTAAAATTAAAAATTAATTTATCTCTGGCTCAGCAGATAATTCTATCATTGTCTGGTCGACAGCTCTTCTATCTAATCCAAAGTATTTAACAAAATTAAAGAATCATTCATTTCAAATTACATGCCTAGTGATATCTTAGAATTCAGAATAAGTCTTTATTAGTGGCTCTAAGGATAAGTAAATTAAATTCTGGCATCAAAACAACTAAACAACATCATTTGATTGGACTTGTTGGCAGACAATTACAGAACACACTGATTAAATTTATGGTCTATCAATTAGCTAAGATGGAAATAAATTAATCTCCTGCGGTCGAGATGGATTGATTTTAGTTATGTAAAAAGATAGTACACAATTTTGGTAAGTTCAGTAGAAAATTTACAAGGCCATTGGATTTAGACTAAGCTTCATTGATAATGAGATGTTTGCATTTTAACCTTTGATACTTCATAATCATAGGTTAAGGGCTTCTTAAAATCTTCTAGTATATTCTTGGAATTCTAATTCAAGATGCTATTTTAAATCCAAATAAATATCAATAAAAGGAGAAGGATAATGGTGTCACATCTATTTCCCACAAACATACATCCCATCCAAATAAATACTTATGGCCAAAAATGGATAAACTGTTAATTTGATAAGATTCTCTAAAACAACTTAAGACTACAATTACAAACTAGAGTAAGTTATTGATTATAGCAATCAATTCCATAAAGTCATATATTAAGGTTAGATATTTGGGGCAATAAGTGATGATGGTGAATATTTAATCTTATGGGATCGGAATTCCAGTTAGATATAAATTAGATAATTCAAAGAGTATTTGTGAAATTATTAAATAAATAATGAATATAATATGACATAATTTTTGCTTTATTCATTTCATTAATTTAGTTATTTATTACTTCGTAGAAAATACTATAAAAATTATAAATTCATCCAATATTGATTCTTAAGTGATTATCTATAATATCAAACTTAGGTTTAAAGTAAGTCCTCTATCATATGATTTTGTTAAATAAGTCTTCATACTATAAGATTAGCATATTTAGTATGGATAGATATACTTTGAGGAGATATTAAATCACTTCTTTTGATACATACAATATACTTGCAAAAAGATCTTTGTATAAATAAATCTAAAAAATCAGTATTTGATCATTGAAATTGAATGATAAGGTCTATCCCAAGAATTTTATCAAATTTTATTAACTATGACTTTTTATCCTTAGAATTGGTTTTAAGATTAAAATAATAAAATTAAATTGCTACTATGATCAAATTATTGATTGTCTTAGTGAATGAGTTTGAATATATATTAAAGAGAATTTTAGACTTTTATTTCAATAAAGGTACTTGATAATTCTTATGTTATTATCGCTATTAAGCCTATTTAAGCCCTAAAGAGTTTTTTTATTTTACCATCTGAGATTTTTATTTGTTATAAATTTGCGGTTGTGGAATGACTTTACTCCATGATTTCTCAATTAAAGTAGGCCAGTGTTGTTTTCCAGCATTATATCCTTTTTCTCCCTCTATTCTAAAAGTTTTTAAATGAGAAGTAGAAGAAGGTTTTTCCTTTAAAAAATATAATTTTAATGTAAATAAAATAGAAGAAGCAGTTTGAATATGAAAGAAGATTATTAACTTGTAAAAATGTTTAAAATCTATAAAGCATGATGTAGTTTTTATAAGATGCATAACATTTCTTACTTTATTATAAATTAAATATTGATGAATTAATTCTTAAATTTAATGGCAATTCAATAAATGTAAAATATTAAATATAAGTGTTTTAATTTTTAATAAGAATAACTGTGTGAATTATGTAAATTGGATCTCATTCTTACATTGTGTATTTTCTAATTTGAATTGATAATTAATCGAATAAGTACGATACAAGATATTCTCCGTCTTTACTCATTGAGCCAAAAAGAAAATAATCTACATATTCAATTACTTGTTCTAATTTGCAAGTCCATCCTCCTTCACTTTCCCTAATCTAGACTCCTTCTTTGGACTTTAGGAATGAAAATTTTACTACATTGACTTTGTTTCCATTTTTTATTATAAGTGTCTCTGTGATAGGAGAATAGCAAGGTGGGAATAGGGGAAAACATTATTCACCAGGTGTTGCTAAATTTAAATGGTCTAATGATTTAACAAAGTGCTAATGTTCATTTTAAGCGAAAAAGTGAAGTTAAGTTCCCATATGTGGTAAGATAGCCAATAGATCATTTGTAATAAAACACAATCGAAAAACTTCTTAAGGAAATTTTATTCGTTATTTAACAGACCATTAAAATTATTGATCAGGTCTCATTACTATAATTAATTTTTCCTTTGAACAAGATACAAATTAGTCACCTAAATTATTAATTGCCATTNTAATCCAAAGTATTTAACAAAATTAAAGAATCATTCATTTCAAATTACATGCCTAGTGATATCTTAGAATTCAGAATAAGTCTTTATTAGTGGCTCTAAGGATAAGTAAATTAAATTCTGGCATCAAAACAACTAAACAACATCATTTGATTGGACTTGTTGGCAGACAATTACAGAACACACTGATTAAATTTATGGTCTATCAATTAGCTATGATGGAAATAAATTAGTCTCCTGTGGTAGAGATGGATTGATTTTAGTTATGTAAAAAGATAATACACAATTTTGGTAAGTTCAGTAGAAAATTTACAAGGCTATTGGATTTAGACTAAGCTTTATTGATAATGAGATGTTTGCATTTTAACCTTTGATACTTCATAATCATAGGTTAAGGGCTTCTTAAAATCTTCTAGTATATTCTTGGAATTCTAATTCAAGATGCTATTTTAAATCCAAATAAATATCAATAAAAGGAGAAGGATAATGGTGTCACATCTATTTCCCACAAACATACATCCCATCCAAATAAATACTTATGGCCAAAAATGGATAAACTGTTAATTTGATAGGATTCTCTAAAACAACTTAAGACTACAATTACAAACTAGAGTAAGTTTTTGATTATAGCAATCAATTCCATAAAGTCATATATTAAGGTTAGATATTTGGGGCAATAAGTGATGATGGTGAATATTTAATCTTATGGGATCGGAATTCCAGTTAGATATAAATTAGATAATTCAAAGAGTATTTGTGAAATTATTAAATAAATAATGAATATAATATGACATAATTTTTGCTTTATTCATTTCATTAATTTAGTTATTTATTACTTCGTAGAAAATACTATAAAAATTAAAAATTCATTCAAAATTGATTCTTATGTGATTATATATAATATCAAACTTAGGTTTAAAGTAAGTCCTCTATCATATGATTTTTGTTAAATAAATCTTCATACTATAAGATTAGCATATTTAGTATGCATAGATATACTTTGAGGAGATATTAAATCACTTCTTTTGATACATACAATATACTTGCAAAAGATCTTTGTATAGATAAATCTAAAAAATCAGTATTTGATCATTGCAAATTGAATGATAAGGTCAATCCCAAGAATTTTATCAAATTTATTAACTATGACTTTTTATCCTTAGAATTGGTTTTAAGATTTAATAATAAAATTAAATTGCTACTATGATCAAATTATTGATTGTCTTAGTGAATGAGTTTGAATATATATTAAAGAGAATTTTAGACTTTTATTTCAATAAAGGTACTTGATAATTCTTATGTTATTATCGCTATTAAGCCTATTTAAGCCCTCAAGAGTATTTTTATTTTAACATCTGATATTTTTATTTGTTATAAAATTGCGGTTGTGGAATGACTTTACTTCATGATTTCTCAATTAAAGTAGGCCAGTGTTGTTTTCCAGCATTATATCCTTTTTCTCCCTCTATTCTAAAAGTATTTAAATGAGAAGTAGAAGAAGGTTTTTCCTTTAAAAATGTAATTTGAATGTAAATAAAATAGAAGAAGCAGTTTGAATATGAAAGAAGATTATTAACTAGTAAAAATGTTTAAAATCTATAAAGCATGATATAGTTTTTATAAGATGCATAACATTTCTTACTTTATTATAAATTAAATATTGATGAATTAATTCTTAAATTTAATGGCAATTCAATAAATGTAAAATATTAAATATATGTGTTTTAAATTTTAATAAGAATAAATGTGTGAATTATGTAAATTGGATCTCATTCTTACATTGTGTATTTTCTAATTTGAATTAATTATGAATCGCATGAATACGATACAAGATATTCTCCGTCTTTACTCATTGAGCCAAAATACAAATAATCTACATATTCAATTACTTGTTCTAATTTGCAAGTCCATCCTCCTTCACTATCCCTAATCTAGACTCCTTCTTTGGACTTTAGGAATGAAAATTTTACTACATTGATTTTGTTTCCATTTTTTATTATAAGTGTCTCTGTGATAGGAGAATAGCAAGGTGGGGATAGGGGAAAACATTATTCACCAGGTGTCGCTAAATTTAAATGGTCTAATGATTTAACAAAGTGCTAATGTTCATTTTAAGCGAAAAAGTGAAGTTAAGTTCCCAAATGTGGTAAGACAGCCAATAGATCATTTGTAATAAAACACAATCGAAAAACTTCCTTAGGAAATTTTATTCGTTATTTAACAGACCATTAAAATTATTGATCAGGTCTCATTACTATAATGAATTTTTCCTTTGAACAAGATACAAATTAGTCACCTAAATTATTAATTGCCATTGCATTTATCGCAGTTTCAAATTCATTCATTGTTTGCTAACAACTCCATTCATGATCTTTTGACCAGAATTTTATTGTTGAATCTTGAGAACCTGAAATAATAATATCCTCTCTAATTGGATGAATAAGTAAGTTGGACACCTAATCCTAATGTCCCTTCAATCTATACTACATACCATATTAAATAGTGCTGTTTGGATTTTGTACCTATGACCATATGATTATTGAATTATCAACCATTGCAGCACCAGAGATGAAAGAGTCATTTTTTTATGGCAGATTAAAGAATTAAAGGGCTAAAACATCATTTGAATGTTCTTTAAGTTTTTAAATCATATTCAGCTACTTTGGTTCTCCATTTATATAAGGGATTTCATATATTTAAATTTTACTGCCTGCTCCTATGATTATCAGGGTCTTTTTCAAATTAATAGCATTAGTGAATGAATAAGAATCAATTTTTGTAGTTGTTTCTGGTAAAATTTCGAATTTATGTGTGCTTTACTTAGGATGTTGTAACATTTATATTGTAATAATCTATATATATTTACTCAATAAAAAATATCCCATATATATTAAATAATTTAAAATCCCCAAATTTATCTATCTCTATCATATTAATGATAATGTCTATGATAAACCTGATTTATTTGTAAATCCAGTAACTTTGTCATCTCAAATTTCTTTTAATGTTGATTCTATATAAATAATACATTGAAAAAAATGGTTAAACTCTTTTTATTCAATTTTTGAGATAAGTCTAGAAATACTGTGTTATAAATATTCGAAATATGTATCTGTAAGCGAACAAACTTAGTAATTAAAATCTTATTGATTTCAATAGTAAATAACCACCAGATCCCTATTCAAAGAAATCATCTTATAATTATTCATTTTTTAGGAAGTGAGAAAAAGAGCATAATAGCAAATTTAAAAATTAGAATAATATAAGATAGTAATATAGACTATTTATTAAGAAAAAGAAAACAATTGATTTTATAAGAACCTAAATAATCTAATACGTGAAAAAGAATTAAAAAAATGATATAGTGTTAAATTAACAACTTATAATTTCAATTCTTTTCTTTGTATTTTCTTAATTATATTTGTTAAGAAAAATCATCCCATGTAATTAAATATTCACCCTTTTTATCTAATGCTCCATATACGAATTCATTACAAAACTTTATTGGTTCTTAACTTAAAATTGTTTTATCTGGCATAATTCTGTATAAATTCACATGCTAACCATTCTTGGTTATTAAAATAGATTTTTATTTATTAAATTGCTAAGGGAATAAAGCATCACATTTATAACTTGATTACACCTCAACTTAATGTATTTAAGTAAACACCTTCGTATTTCGATTTAATTCATAAATTTCCATGAAATTAGACGCATAAGGTTAAAATGCAAATCTTTGCTTGTCTATAAAACATAGTCTATGTCCCCAAAGCTATACTGATATCATCTTGTAAAAATTCCATTTATTATGAAATTTTTCATACACATTTATCTAATTTGATTATTCAAAACAAGAAATCAGCATGTTTTATCCAGAATTCAAACTTAATGATTATATGTCTCCTGGTATTTCATTTATAGTTTAGATACATTCATAATTTTACTACTTATCCCAAATTTTAATAGATCGATCGCAGTTCCCTGAAAATATCAAATTTTCACTATAATCTATCGTTAAACACATCATAATGT